CTGTCTCCGCTCCACGTGCTCTCACCACTGGTGTCCCCCAGGGCTCAGTTCTAGGCCCTCTCCTATTCTCGCTATACACCAAGTCACTTGGCTCTGTCATATCCTCACATGGCCTCTCCTATCATTGCTACGCAGACGACACACAACTAATCTTCTCCTTTCCCCCTTCTGATAACCAGGTGGCGAATCGCATCTCTGCATGTCTGGCAGACATATCAGTATGGATGACGGATCACCACCTCAAGCTGAACCTTGGCAAGACGGAGCTGCTCTTCCTCCCGGGGAAGGACTGCCCGTTCCATGATCTCGCCATCACGGTTGACAACTCCGTTGTGTCCTCCTCCCAGAGTGCGAAGAGCTCCGCTAACATCAAGGCGGTGACCCGATCCTGTAGGTTCATGCTCTACAACATTCGGAGAGTACGACCCTGCCTTACACAGGAAGCGGCACAGGTCCTAATCCAGGCACTTGTCATCTCCCGTCTGGATTACTGCAACTCGCTGTTGGCTGGGCTCCCTGCCTGTGCCATTAAACCCCTACAACTCATCCAGAATGCCGCAGCCCGTCTGGTGTTCAACCTTCCCAAGTTCTCTCACGTCACCCCGCTCCTCCGCACACTCCACTGGCTTCCAGTTGAAGCTCGCATCTGCTACAAGACCATGGTGCTTGCCTACGGAGCTGTGAGGGGAACGGCACCTCTGTACCTTCAGGCTCTGATCAGTCCCTACACCCAAACGAGGGCATTGCGTTCATCCACCTCTGGCCTGCTGGCTCCCCTACCTCTGCGGAAGCACAGTTCCCGCTCAGCCCAGTCAAAACTGTTCGCTGCTCTGGCACCCCAATGGTGGAACAAGGTCCCTCACGACGCCAGGACAGCAGAGTCACTCACCACCTTCCGGAGACATTTGAAACCCCACCTCTTTAAGGAATACCTGGGATAGGATAAAGTAATCCTTCTACCCCCCCCCCCCCCCCCCCCCCCCCCCCCCCACCCCCCCTTACCCCCCAAAAAACATTGTAAAGTGGTTATCCCACTGGCTCTAAGGTGAATGCACCAATTTGTAAGTCGCTCTGGATAAGAGCGTCTGCTAAATGACGTAAATGTAAAATGTAAATGTAAAGATGTGGCCTCTAGTTGAAGATGTGGACTCTAGTTGAAGATGTGGCCTCTAGTTGAAGATGTGGCAGAGGGGGTTCAAAGTATCCATCACTAAAATATTAATGATTCATCTTTGACTTCGTCCTTCCTCCCTGCCAACATGGGGATCAATCTCTTTTAGGAAGATGGAGGGATCATTTCTTCTTTTCAAAATGTATTTTCCCTTGAGTCTATCCATGATTGACTGATCTGATTTATATTTGGAAGACATTTTTTAACATGGGGGACCCCATGGGTATAGGAGTTCCTGCTACAAAGTGGCCCATCTGAAGGCCCTCTGCCCAGACTTTGGTTCTAATTGAGTATAGACCCCCAAGGCACAATCCCCCCCCCCCCCCCACAACCACACAACCACACTCCCACAGACATGCACATACACTCAGACATGTGCACACACACACGCACACACACACGCACACACGCACACACACACACACACACCACACACTCACACACCAAAACCATCACTATCATAGACCCAGCTGCTGTCTGTTCAAAGCAGTCGGCTTCTGGGTGGCCGTGGATATGAAAGAAGAGAGGATCTCAAGAGCACCGGCCAAAAAGCAGACACAACTATTTCCCTTCAACAGTACATGCATGAATTGAGAAAGTGACAAAATTACAGAATTGGGCTTGCCCCGTGTCAATCAGAGAATCAGCATATAATTAGAGCAATTGTACATTGTTCAGGCATCTGTATGCATTTGTGAACCTTGTCTGTTGAGGCTAATAGTGCTCATTGAAAACATGTAGAGTGTGTGTGTGTGTGCGTGTGTGTGTGTGTGTGCGTGCTCATGGGTGTTTATTTGTTTATTTGGATCCCCATTAGCTTTTGCAGAAGCAGCAGCTACTCTTCCTGGGGTCCACAAAAAACACAAAACACAAAACATGACAAGTAACAAAACACTGATAGACAAGGACAGTCACACAGATGTAAAATACAACGATATAGAAACAATAAAACAATTATACAAACCATACAACTACAAAAGTCTGTGTGTGTGTGGTGTGTGTGTGTGTCTGTGTCTGTGTCTGTGTGTCTGTGTGTGTGTGTGTGTGTGTGTCTGTGCGTGTTTAGTGTGTTTTAGTGTGTCTGTGTGTGTGTGTGGGTGTGTGTGTGTGTGTCCCCTCACAGTTCTTGCCGTTCCATGAGATGTTGTTTAATCGTTTTTTTAAAGGTCATGGCTCTGTATAATACTGTGCGTTGCCGTGAATTCGTTTTGGACACGGGGACTGTGAAGAGACCGCTGGTGGCATGTCTTGTGGGGTATGGGTTTCTGAGCTGAATGTCATTTGATTATGAAGACAATCTGGAATTTTCATCAAAGTAATATTTCTCATAAAAACTAGAGGAGAAGCAGTTCATCTCTCGTCAACCCTCAACCAGGAAAGACTGGCATGCATGTTGTTGATGTTAGTTCTGTATGTGTAGTTAAGGGCAAGGCGGGCTGCTCTGTTTTGAGCCAGCTGCAGCTTTGCTAGGTCTTTCCTGGCTGCACTTGACCATATTACCAGATAGTAATCAAGATGGGACAAGACCAGAGTCTGAACAACTAGTACAGTTGATCTTTGTATCAAAAACGCAGAGCATCTTTTTATAACAGACATACTGTACTCCTCCACATCTTCACAACAACTTTGTCAATATGACTTGACTATAATAACTAACCATCCAATGTTATACCTATGAGTTTAGCTTCCTTAACTTGCTCAATGGTCACATCCTTTATTTACAACTCCAGTTGAAGTTTAGGTTTTAGAAAATGTTTTTAACTAAATACAATGCTTTTAGTTTTAGATGCATAAACACACATGTGCATTCGTATATATGTATGTGTATGTATGCATCTACGTGTTTGAGTGTGAGTTTGTGCATGCGTTCGTGTGTGTGTGTGTACGTCTTTATGTGTGTCGTGACTCTAACCTTGCTGCCATTGCTGAGGCTCATGCCGCTCAGGGCCGTGAGCTTGGCCTCCAGGCTTTGCTGCTGCTGGTGATGAAGCTGTTCTCTCTGGATCTGCTCCCTCATCTTCCTTGCCTCCTGGATGGCCTTCATCACTGCGTCCTGGTCCCCAAACAACGCAGTGGAGTTCAGGCTGGACAGGATGTCTGTGGGCAGAAAGCATCGGCTGTCAGTGTCTGACTGTTGACGGACACAGCAGCAGACCAATCAGTATTGTTGCTGTACGTGACCTCACAGGAAAAGATCTTGACAAATGACTGATTCCAAATGGACCCTTAGCTCCTCCTCTCTAGACATGTGTAGAGCTGAGAGGATTGGACAGGTGTAAGCAATATAGAAAAAAGGTGGAGTTGTTACCATATTGCTTTTAGATATCCAGCTCTTTCAGATCTACACAGGTGCCTAGGGGGTAGGGGATACGGCTTTATTTGTGGTTAGACAATGAAATACTTTTTTTTCGAATGGCAGTTTCTCAACAAGCACCCAACATTCCCCTCTGCCCCCCTTTTTTGTGTACAGTATGTTTTTGAAGCCTATGTGTATGTAATAAGAAACGAGAGTGCAAACTTTCCGGCACCTTCCTTGTCTAATTAGCAGATGAAGAGGAAGTACTGCATGCATGGGTGGCCGTCAAAAAAAGGGTGAAAAATAACCCACAGGAAGGAACACAAGTGAAGTGGCGCATCCTCAAAGCCACTCTAGAGGAGCTAGCAAAATTGTTATGGTGTAATGAGAGGCTTTAGATTGTGCTTAATCACAGATAGCAGAGGTAGAGCACTAAGGTTTATGGTACTGGGCAGACAATGATGTGAGGAAGTCTCTTTAAACCAAAAAACGTGTGCTGGGTTTCACTGCTTCCGCTGCCTGGGTTTTCATTGGTGCTAAATACAGAGCTTTGGGCTCTCGTAAAAAAAAAACAGGTCTCCTTTGGGGTTGACTTGAACTGGCGGAGGATGCTAGGAATGTTTGTGTGCAATGTGAAGGTGTTTTGTGTGCATTTTGTTTATGTGTACCTGTGAGTGTGTGCACATGCATGTGTGGGTGTTCATTGCACCCACCCAGTGAGCCTCTGCCCATGTTGGAGAGGGGGCTGGGGATGCGCCCCTTCCCCAGGCTGATGGGGCTGGTCTTGTTGCTGGGGAACAGGCAGTGTGACGGCGAGGACGGGGAGCGGTGGGGTTCGCCAGTCTTGGATCGGGCTGAGAGGTTCAGGGGCTGCGTCGACCCTTCCTCCTGAGGAAGACGAGGAGAAAGAGCGGGCACAGGGGTAAGCACAGGGGTAAGCGAAGGCTGGACAGGATGTCTATGGGCTCAGGGGCAAGCACAGGGGTAAGCAAAGGCTGAAAACACACCGTGGACCTGTTACATGGGCAAACACAATTATTTTGACGGTGTTATGAGGGCATTATGACAGACTGCTTCAAGTGAAGACCTGGTGAAAATGTAGTTGTTAGTTGGAGTGTGTATATACTGAGTATACTAAACATTAGGAACATCTTCCTAATATTGAGTTGCACCCCCCCCCCCCTTTTTGCCCTCAGAACAGGCTCAATTCGTTGGGTTATGCTACAAGGTGTCGAAAGCATTCCGCAGGGATTCTGGCCCATGTTGACCCCAATGCTTCCCACAGTTGTGTCAAGTTGGCTTGAAGTCCTTTGGGTGGTGGACCATCCTTGATACACACAGGAAATTGTTGCGTGTGAAAAACCGAGCAGCTTTGCAGTTCTTGACACAAACCAGTGTGCCTGGCACTTACTACCATACCCTGTTCAAAGGCACTTAAATCTTTTTTTGTCTTGCCCATTCACCCTCTGAATGGCACACAAACACAATCAATGTCTCAATTGTCTCAAGGTTTAAAAACTTTCTTTAGCTCGTCTCCTCCCCTTCACTGAAGTGGATTTAACAAGTGACATCAATAAGGGATCACAGCTTTCAGACCTGGATTCACCTGGTCAGTCTGTGTCATGGAAAGAGCAGGTGTTCTTCATATTTTATACACTCAGTGTAGCTGTCGTGGTCTAAGCTCTGCTGAGGAGGATAAGTTCTCTATCCAACTGACTGAAGAGTCTTTCGCCCTGATTCAGTCTGACTCATCTATTCAACTCAGCCTCTGAATTATGTTGAAGCATGTCTGTCTGGGAGTCGAGATTGACAGAGCAAAAACATTTGAAGCAGACAGAAAAGTTGTGTTTGTTTATACTCAGTGTAGACCAGTATGAATGATGTGTTTGAGAATGCAATAATGCTTTAATACTTTGGTGGTGTTCCCCAGGGCACTGTGTTGGGACCGCACATGATTCAGAAGTTGGGAAAAATAAGGCTTCACCACCATGCTTTGACCCTCAGATTGCTGCCTAAAAAAGGTCTTCACTCAATTATCCCCCTCTCAAGTTGTGGCCATTTATAAATACATTTGATCAACAAAAGCCAGTCGTCCCATCTCCTCCTCTTTCCTAATCAAAGGTTCATGACCACATCGCCTCACATAAAGTTTGTGAGGAATCCCTGGAAGGGGATAGAAACTGGAAGAGAATCCTTCAACACCACCTGACTGTGCCGTGAAAGGGAACACTAACAAACATGGATTTAATTTGGAACCGGTCTTGAGGAGAGGAGAAGGAACGTGATTTTGGAGGCTGGGAGGACATTGGGATACCAGTGTGGGGGGTAGCGAGAGTGGAAAGGAGTTAGGGAAGGTGGTAGTTTCAAGGTGAAAGTTTCAAGGTGGAAGTTTCAAGGTGGAAGTTTCAAGTTGGAAGTTTCAAGGTGGAAGTTTCAAGGTGGAAGTTTCAAGGTGGAAGTTTCAAGTTTCAAGGGAAGAGTAACTACTTTAGAGCTGTGGTGAGTTCTGACTCCAGTCTATTGTGATGTTGGTTGAGTAGTATTGTGGAGCTGTGGTGAGTTCTGACTCCAGTCTATTGTTATGTTGGTTGAGTAGTATTGTGGAGCTGTGGTGAGTTCTGACTCCAGTCTATTGTGATGTTGGTTGAGTAGTATTGTGGAGCTGTGGTGAGTTCTGACTCCAGTCTATTGTTATGTTGGTTGAGTAGTATTGTGGAGCTGTGGTGAGTTCTGACTCCAGTCTATTGTGATGCTGGTTGCAGCGACCCCACATAGACACATGGCTCCCATTATTGCCTCATCGAGTCAAGATGAGGCGTATGCTCTCGAGCTCACTCCAGTAAAGAGGTCTGGGCCCATTGTAAACAGCAGCCAGCGCCAATGACTGTGTGTGTGTGTGCGTGTGTGTGTGTGTGTAAGTGTTCATTCCCTTTCACTTGAATCATTGATTCAGTCAGTGAGTTATATACTGTATAACCAAGATCCAAAACAAAACACACAAAGTCAAGCATACAGAGAAAGCTCACCTTAACGTGAGCGACAGGACTCAATGCTCTCTTTTCACTCTTCAAGGCGGAGGGCGAGAGGGGGCCTGAGGAGTTGGGAGGCTGTGGCAGTGAGGCCATTTTGGCTCCAGGTGAGATCTGCATGCTGGCCAGCTGGGTGGCGTACAGCTGCTGCAATGAGAGGAAATAGGGAAACTGTCAAGCTATTAACATCAGCAGCCAGCCGCTAGAACCGGCTTGCTTCCCGCCTCCCTCGCTGTGTGTCACATGCCCACACGCACAAACAAAATTCAGAGAAAAAACATACAGAGGGCCTGTCTATAGTTGGTCGTGACTTGAAGCTAAAATGAAAAAGACACACACAACTATGAGCATTGTTGGAGGCATGTGTTTGTTTGTCAAGGTTCAGATCCAGAGAAAACACATTTAACTCAAACCATCGACAATCTAGCTACAATGCTGATTCATTCAACAGATGGTGGTGTTCAGAGCGGCTTGCTTATCGATTAATATCAATGGTTGGATCCAGTTTGAGGTTTTGAGTGTTCCTCAAAACTTAAAGTCAGAGAAATTATTCAAGTTAAATGTCAGAGTAAAGTTTCAGGTAAATATATTTTTTTAACTCTTTCAAAGAATTAATGGAGGATAAACCTACATTTCAGAGAAATCCTACAAAGCTCCAGACAGTCCAAGATACTTAGTAAATATCAAACAACCCAATCTAGAAAAGAGAAACACAGTCACTGTCTGAGGTCCAGCAGTTTAAATCAAAGCTCTGACCACTGCCTGAAACCACTGTCAACCTCCGTTTGAGGACTTGACAACATATCAAAGCCCCAATCCTGCAGGAAAACCACCCAGACATGGCTAGTGTTCAGTAATACTTGGCCTGCCTCTCTCCTCTCTACCTCCTCCTCTCCTCTAATATCTCCCTTTCTCCACTCTTCTTTTCTCTTCTCCTCTCTCTCTCTCTTGTCTCTTCTCTCCTCCAATCTCACCTTTCTCCATTCTTCTCTCCTCTCCCTCATCTCCTCCCACCACTCCTCTCCTCCTACCTCCCCCTCTCTTTACCCCTCTCTCTCCCCCTGTCCACCTCTCCACCCCCCTCTCCTCCTACCTCCTCATCCCTCCCCTCTCCCCCCCTCTCTTTCTCCCCCCCCTCTTCTCTTCCCCCCCTCTTTCTCTCTCGCTCTCTCTCCCCCTCTCTCTCCCCTTCTCTCTCCCCCCCTCCTCTCTCCCCAGTGTATCATTGCCCCAGTGTTGTGAGATCTGATTTCCTCTCAGTCTAAACCGGTAGGCCTCGCGGGAGCTCTGAGGTCCGTGGAGGGCGGCAGACACACGAGAAGCAGAGCAGAGGGGAGGACCGCCGCGCCGTCTCATTCTGCGGTTCAGGCAGCAAGTTGGACAGCCCTCTCCCGAGCCGATATTAAACACAAACAGAAGGGGCCCTCGCCGCGATGAAACAAAGCCCTGATGTCACGTCGCTTATTTTCCTTGGAGAATATGAGGAGTGCCCGGGCCAACCTCTGGCGATATGAGATCCGCTCAAGAATGTGCTTTGAATGACTGGTAGTGCCTCGCACGTCTATCATTCACGACCACAAGAGTAACTCGGTGTGGTGATGGCTGTTGTTCATACAACTGGGGAGAAGAGGAGAGCTGAGGTTGAGGTATTGACGCTGAAAGTCTCCGAGGCCCAAGCACACGCACAAACACACACACTGTCTCTCTCTACTGAGCAAGGATCATGTATGGGAACGAGTTAGACAGTTAGACACTGGTAGACTGAGCTATGGGCCCCTATTCCCAAGCACACTCACACAAACTTAACACACACAAACAAACATTCACATTCATACCCCCACACAAACTAAAACAGAGATAGCCCTGCCGCTTTCAATATGGCTGCCAAAACATCATCAGACAAGCGCTTTACACAGAGAGCTGACAAAAGCAACCAGTCGACCGTAACTAGGGAGTCAAACGGTGCACCTTTCTAGTAACCTAGTAAAAGATTGCCACAGTCATTTTTAGCCACATTGAGCCTTGTAAATGTATAATGTCACTATTGTTTACTTGACATTGACCCTGTCCTTGCCAACTGGCAAAATGCTGTTTAAAGTCAAACAAACAAAAGTGTTCAAGACAGGCCTTTTTCTCCCTTTTCCCCAAAAAACCTGCGGGATCAATGGTCGGTTAGAAGCCAATGTGCAACGTAAACAACGGCAATTGGACCTCTCACTGTTCAGTAAACCCTGAGGGAAGACAATGCAGTGATTTTTTAAAATTACAAATTGAAAAACAGTCTTCAAAAAGACCCCTCGCTATTGGACGGGGGCTCTGGCTGTTAGTGCTAATTTGACTGAAACTAAATGATTAGTCTGTAATTTTCCTCGATCAGTGCTGGTTTTGATAGTCAGGTAGGCGCGATAATATGCTAAGAGAATGGTATGTTGTTGTGCTTTATAGGGGGCTGAGTAGGAGTGCTGATCTAGGATCAGTATGACCTTTTAGATCATAATGAATAAGATGACATGGATTCTATACCTGCCCCTAGGGGGAGTGGTACAATCCCCTTAGCTAGCTTCTTTTAGCCTCGGGTTTCTATTGATCTCAGTATCAGGAAAACACATGGGGGTTGGAATTTTTCAGCAGTTAGCAGGGAGAGAAAGGAGGAAAATAGAATGACTGCCTGACTGCCTGACGCTCACTAAGGAAAGGCTAAATTAGCACTTTCTGGTGTGTGTGTGTGTATTCTTATGCATGTGTGTTTGTGTGAGTGCGTCATGCGCGCTTGCACAAGTATGTGTGCGTGTGTAAACATACATGTGTGTAAACCTTCACAGTAAGCGTGTCTGTATATATATTGCATAAGTTGCACTCTCATAGATTCACAGCTGAGTCTCATTGAGAATACGTCCATCACTAGTCCTCAAGTTATGCCTATGCTCTAATCTCTTCAAAGGGTCAGATGTACGCTCCTTAACCTCTGCCCCAAAACATTTTGATTTGATTCTCCTATTAAACTCGTAAATCACAAATGTCCTGTGATGAATGAAATCCCACAGGGCAAAAAATCTGCAAACGCCTATATTTAGCAAAGTAGGGGAAAACCCTTGACTCTCCGCATATCAGTGTTGCGTCAATTCCTCACCTTTAGAGCTATGAAACAGACAGGACAGAAATAGCTAATTGAGCCGGAGAGGAAGAGAGTGAGAGACGTCTTGTGATGACAACAAGAATGTCTGCTAAGTAACTGTATTGCACTCGCATTAGCAGGACACAAAGGGGGTTATTCTTCAATTGAACTGGACTGCAGATGCCAGGCACCGGCCATAAGGACTGGAAACAATTGCCTGATGAAGTTCCCACAGTGGTAAGGGACATTCGGGCTGAGTTCCCACAGTGGTAAGGGACATTCGGGCTGAGTCCCCACAGTGGTAAGGGACATTCGGGCTGAGTTCCCACAGTGGTAAGGGACATTCGGGCTGAGTTCCCACAGTGGTAAGGGACATTCGGGCTGAGTCCCCACAGTGGTAAGGGACATTCGGGCTGAGTCCCCACAGTGGTAAGGGACATTCGGGCTGAGTCCCCACAGTGGTAAGGGACATTCGGGCTGAGTTCCCACAGTGGTAAGGGACATTCGGGCTGAGTCCCAAATGTCACTCTTTTCTCTTTATAGTGCACTACTTTTGACGTGAGCCCATGCCTTTGGGACGCAGCCCCTGGCTCCTAAAACATTCTGCCGCTTGTTGTGCTGGTCATGAATGATCCAATACGATTAGTCAATATATTGTATTCTAGTTTCCCTCCTATGACTATAGTGTAAGTGCAACATATTGTTGAGGTAAAATAAATAAAGGGTGTGGAATGCAAGAGATTTGGAGATCAGGCTATCTTGTCTTACATCTTTAGAGTGTTATAAATACAGTGGGGGAAAAAAGTATTTAGTCAGCCACCAATTGTGCAAGTTCTCCCACTTAAAAAGATGAGAGAGGCCTATGACAGACAAACTATGACAGACAAAATGAGATTTTTTTTTCCAGAAAATCACATTGTAGGATTTTTAATGAATTTATTTGCAAATTATGGTGGAAAATAAGTATTTGGTCAATAACAAAAGTTTCTCAATACTTTGTTATATACCCTTTGTTGGCAATGACACAGGTCAAACGTTTTCTGTAAGTCTTCACAAGGTTTTCACACACTGTTGCTGGTATTTTGGCCCATTCCTCCATGCAGATCTCCTCTAGAGCAGTGATGTTTTGGGGCTGTCGCTGGGCAACACAGACTTTCAACTCCCTCCAAATATTTTCTATGGGGTTGAGATCTGGAGACTGGCTAGGCCACTCCAGGACCTTGAAATGCTTCTTACGAAGCCACTCCTTCGTTGCCCGGGCGGTGTGTTTGGGATCATTGGCATGCTGAAAGACCCAGCCACGTTTCATCTTCAATGCCCTTGCTGATGGAAGGAGGTTTTCACTCAAAATCTCACGATACATGGCCCCATTCATTCTTTCCTTTACACGGATTAGTCGTTCTGGTCCCTTTGCAGAAAAACAGCCCCAAAGCATGATGTTTCCACCCCCATGCTTCACAGTAGGTATGGTGTTCTTTGGATGCAACTCAGCATTCTTTGTCCTCCAAACACGACGAGTTGAGTTTTTACCAAAAAGTTATATTTTGGTTTCATCTGACCATATGACATTCTCCCAATCCTCTTCTGGATCATCCAAATGCAGTCTAGCAAACTTCAGACGGGCCTGGACATGTACTGGCTTAAGCAGGGGGACACATCTGACACTGCAGGATTTGAGTCCCTGGCGGCGTAGTGTGTTACTGATGGTAGGCTTTGTTACTTTGGTCCCAGCTCTCTGCAGGTCATTCACTAGGTCCCCCCGTGTGGTTCTGGGATTTTTGCTCACCGTTCTTGTGATCATTTTGACCCCACGGGGTGAGATCTTGCGTGGAGCCCCAGATCGAGGGAGATTATCAGTGGTCTTATATGTCTTCCATTTCCTAATAATTGCTCCCACAGTTGATTTCTTCAAACCAAGCTGCTTACCTATTGCAGATTCAGTCTTCCCAGCCTGGTGCAGGTCTACAATTTGTTTCTGGTGTCCTTTGACAGCTCTTTGGTCTTGGCCATAGTGGAGTTTGGAGTGTGACTGTTTGAGGTTGTGGACAGGTGTCTTTTATACTGATAACAAGTTCAAACAGGTGCCATTAATACAGGTAATGAGTGGAGGACAGAGGAGCCTCTTAAAGAAGAAGTTACAGGTCTGAGCCAGAAATCTTGCTTGTTTGTAGGTGACCAAATACTTATTTTCCACCATAATTTGCAAATAAATTCATTAAAAATCCTACAATGTGATTTTCTGGATTTTTTTCTTCTCAATTTGTCTGTCATAGTTGACGTGTACCTATGATGAAAATTACAGGCCTCTCTCATCTTTTTAAGTGGGAGAACTTGCACAATTGGTGGCTGACTAAATACTTTTTTCCCCCACTGTAGATGCATAACTTTATAAGATTGTAATGGATTTGGTATTCCCCTCCCTCTCTCCCTCCTAACCACATACATTCTCCTCTCTCCAGTATTATCTCTCTCCTCTCTATTACTATCTTTCTATCTCTCTCCTCTCCATTAATATCTCTCTATCTCTCTCCTCTCCATTACTATCTCTCTCCTCTCCATTAGTATATCTCTCCTCTCCATTACTATCTTACAATCTCTCTACTTGTCACGATCGTCTATGAAGTAGGACCAAAGCGCAGCGTTGGTAGCGAACATATTGACTTTAATGCAATACACGAGAATACAAAACAAAACACGATCATGAAGTCCTCAGTGACAACGACTGAACATAGAACAAAAACCCACAACCCCAAGGTGAACAATGACAGTTTAAATATGGCTCCCAATCAGAGATAACGAGCCGACAGCTGACACTCGTTACCACTGATTGGGAGTCACTGGACCAAACAATGAAACCACCAATAACAACCCAACTAATCCCCAAACACA